AAAATGACATAAGAAACCAGATAACCAACCAGGTTGTTCTTCCTGGCTCTCTCCAACAGACTGCCTTTGAAGCTCATCATAGTCACATGACTGCAAGTCATCATGGTGTACAAAAGACCGTAAGTGCTCTTCAATCTTGTTATCATTGGCCAGGATTTACATCAGCAGTTCATAGATTAGTCTGTGGATGTCTGTGGATCAAAGAAAACATGGGGGAAGAAACATCATGCTCCTTTAAAACAGTGTGTGGTAGGAGCTCCCATGGGATAGATTGCAATTGACATTCTTGGTCCACTGCCAGAAACTCCACAGGAGAACAAGTTTATACCGGTGGTTAGTGATTATTATACTAAATGGACTGAGAGCTACCCAATTCCAAACCAAGAGGTGGCTACTATTGCTGAGAGGTTAGTGAGCGAGTTCATTTGTCCCTTTGGCATTCCCCGTGAACTTCATAGTGACCAAGGAACTAACTTTGAATCAAAGGTGCTTGCTGAAATTTGCAAGCTGTTAGACATTGAGAAAACTTGCACTACCCCACTGTACCCCAAATCCGATGGACAGGTGGAGTGTTTCAACAGGACTCTCATTGAAATATTGTGTTGAAAGATTAAGGTAGACCGAAGGATCTTCACCTTCCAGCTAACATGATGGCTATCGGGACGTTGTTCATGAGTCAACAGGGGTTACACCTAATCTCTTAATGCTGGGTAGAGAGTGGGAAGTTCCTTTGGATACCATAACCAAGGCAACTCCTGATGCACCACCACTGAAGACAGACTACACCCAAGCTGTTTAAAAGAGATTGGCCAGTGCACATGATTTGGCTAGATGCCAGTTGAACAGTGCAGCCATATGCCAGAAGTGGAACTTTGACAAACAGCTTGCTGGTAGACCATGTACTATTGGTGATCGTGTTTGGCTGCACAATGTTCGGAGAAAGAAAGGGAGAAATGTCAAACTTGACTGCCCGTGGGAGGGACCTTATCTGATATTAGTGCTGTCTGATGTAGTGTACTGAATCCAGAAGAGCAGGAAGGCCAAGCTGAAGGTCATTCATTCGGACCAGTTAAAGCCTGGCACTGGAGAGATGGATTCCTAAAAGGCAGATGCAGTTATCGAAACCAAGAGAGGAAGAGAGAGAGGCATCAGACGTAGATTGTCCAGTATTTTGTTGAAGATGGAGAGTCAGCTCCCGTTATGGGAGAGAGGGAGTTGAGTTTGTCAAGGCAGAGTGGATGGTGGGAGAAGAGGATGAACTCAGAATGCTGATTGCATTGGGGCAGATAACAGCAACTAATCTGATAATGTGAGGGAACCTGAACCTCGCACAGAATTGTCAACTTCAAGTGCAGATGACCATAACCCAGAGGATGTCAACAGTGAAACAGTGGAATTGACTGTACAAGTCATACCTGAAACAGATTCTAGTGTTCGTGGGAGACTGTCAAGGCAGCTAAAGCCACCAAGGCAGTATGCAACTTAGGTGGCTGGTTAACCTGATCGCTCAGTGATTTTAACATGAAATGTTTAAAGACTGATTGAAACTAACATACAGGCAAGGCAATTACACAAGTTTACACATTTAAATGTTGCTTGTTTCCAGGAACTGTGGACATTGTCATGTTTATTCAGGAACAGTCCTTAGAGACTCCGTCTGTTGTGTCGAATTATAGTTGTTTTAAGTTCACTCTGAAGTGATTTACACATAACAAAACAACTGGGACAATGCTCATTAAAGGGGGAGAGTAGTGTAGCGTAGGGCGATTGCCCACAGGTACCCCCTTAGTGAATTGTAAGTCACGTGACATATAGTGATATAGCCATGTGCTCAGTTAAGTTGTTAAACTGTAGATTTCGTATGTCTGTGATTAAAAGTTTTAACACCATGTTGTTTTATTGCAGAATTGTGGCATTACAATATAAATGACCAATGCCTCTTTTCTTCCACAACAAAAACTCTTTACAAGCTACATGTGCACTTTTTATTATAAAGTTCTTGCTATTAAGATCAACTGTAAGTTAAAAATCAATTCTATTTAAATGTAAATACTTTCATTCTTTTTAATGCATATTAACAATTTTATGTTTGTAAAAAAATAAATTGAATGTTTCT